ATTGTCCAGTTAACCAATCTATTGTCCAATTAACCAATCTATTGTTCAATTAACCAATCTATTGTCCAATCAACCAATTTATTGTCCAGTTAACCAATCTATTGTCCAATTAACTAATCTATTGTCCAATTAATCAATATATTGTCCAATCAACCAATCTATTGTCCAATTAACCAATCTATTGTCAAATTAATCAATCCATTGTCCAATCAACCAATTTATTGTCCAGTTAACCAATCTATTGTCCAATTAACTAATCTATTGTCCAATTAACCAATCTATTGTCCAATTAATCAGTCTATTGTCCAATTAACCAATCTATTGTCCAATTAACCAATCTATTGTCCAGTTAACCAATCTATTGTCCAATTAACCATTCTATTGTCCAATTAATCAATCTATTGTCCAATTAACCATTCTATTGTCCAAACACGGTTCATTTACTTCATTACTCTTTCTAACCACAACTAACTTTGGTGTGGTTTACAACATAAAGATGTAACTTTGACAATAATGTGGTGTGGTTTACAACATAAAGATGTAACTTTGACAATAATGTGGTGTGGTTTACAACATAAAGATGTAACTCTAACAATAATGTGGTGTGGTTTACAACATAAAGATGTAACTTTGACAATAATGTGGTGTGGTTTACAATATAAAGATGTAACTCTGATAATAATGTGATGTGGTTTACAACATAAAGATGTAACTCTGACAATAATGGGTGTGGTTTACAACATAAAGATATAACTATTATGAGTGAAGATGAAATCTTGAGGAAAATGTGATCGATTATACGACATGAAGATGAATAATGTGGATAGTTTTTTCGGAATAATTAACTTAATAAATATTTCAATTTAGATTATGGCTAAAACTGGGCTTATTTGTTTACCTTATTATAATAATAATAATAATATTAGCCAGTTTCATAATTTATGTTTGAAACATCGAATAGATATGTATACTTTATATCAACTAAGAAAACTCGATTGTGTTTTATTAGTCTCAGAAAAAGCTGAATTGGAAAAACCCTTCTGTAAGTTTTAAATAAGATTCTACTTGACATAATAACTTTTAATTAAGATTTTACTTGACATAATATGTTTTAATTAAGGTTTTACTTGACGGATTAAGTTCTAAATAAGATTCTACTTGACAGAAAAAGTTTTAATTAAGGTTTTACTTGACATAATAACTTTTAATTAAGATTTTACTTGACATAATAAGTTTTAATTAAGATTCTACTTGACAGAATAAGTTTTAAATAAGGTTCTACTTGACGGAAAGAGAGTTTTCTGCTAAACAAAGTAAAATTTGTAACAGTTTTCTAAAACAAAGCAAGAAACTAAGATCTTCAACAACACGAAGAACCAGAAAACGTTTCAGAAGAAATAATGTGTAACAATAATAAAAGTAACTCCTTAAAGATGAGAAATTTGGGTTCCAACCATGCTCTTTTCGTGACTGTTAACAGCCAGAGAAGCTAATAATTGCCCTAAATGAACAAAGAGGAAATATACCTTCTATCACACAACAGCTGCTTTAGCCTCAGGGCAACATGAGAGTGGTTATGAACGTGATATCTTAATTCAGTACAGTGTGAAATTATTGTACATGAAGAGCACTTGTGAACACGATATCTTAATTCAGTACAGTGTGAAATTATATTACATGAAGAGCACTTGTGAACACGATATCTTAATTCAGTACAGTGTGAAATTATATTACATGAAGAGCACTTGTGAACACATCTTAATTCAGTACAGTGTGAAATTACATTACATGAAGAGCACTTGTGAACACGATATCTTAATTCAGTACAGTGTGAAATTATATT